AGAGGTCAGATTTTCTTGGCTTGGGTTTGATCATAAAACTTAACCAATAAAATAAAGCATTTGACTAGAAGATAGACATTATCATATGATTGATTGACGATCAAAGATCATCAATTCAGAGAGTGGAATAATTGGGTTTCAATATAGTTCTTGGCAAAACCTTACATTAAGCCCTTAAACTTATTCTAAATTTTTTATTAAGTTCTTAAATTTTTATTAAAGCAAATAAACCCTTAAACTTATCGATTTAGACAATTTAACCTTTTTTCTTAGTGTAAACTTGCTGCTCGTTTATGTATTTAATTTTTACATCGACAAGTTCTATACATGCCATGTAGTCAATGACATATCAATATCATGTCCATATCAACAATTCACAAACTGCTATTAAATTTGTCATAAAAAAGAAGGGTTAAATTGCTTAAATTACTAAATTTAAGGGTTTATTTGTTTCAATAAAAGTCTTAAGGCTTAATCTAGAATTTGGGATAAGTTTGAGAGCTTAACAAAGGATTTTGCTTAATTTAAAATCAATTAGTGATAACTCATATGCATCATTATTATTTGTTCAACGTGGGATTTTCTCACTTATCAAATATTTAAAATTCTTTTGAGATTTGAACTTAACCACTATTTGAATTTTTATGGAAATTAATCTTTATTTAACAAAAACTTACCATTAACTATTCTTTAGGGGAAAATGAAAAGGAAAAAGAAAAAATTGCAATTGTACATAATGATACCAACAAAATTAAACTTGGTTAAACAAGTACTTGTTTTTTGAGAGTTTTGGAGGAATGCAAACTTACCACGCCTTAACAATTCTCCTAAAAAATCAAGTGGATACCAAAAAGTGCTTGCTTGAATTCCATGTGGATTTGATTATGTTATTGCCTACAATTGAACCTAAGACTTGGAAGATAAAGAACAAAATACAGTGTATACATACAGAAAGCAACGTACAGAAAGTGAAATTGGAGTAGAAGATCTGGATATATATATTTGCACTAATGAGTTTGTACTAAATTAACATACTTACAAAGTACAGGTGGAGAAGGGATTTGGGATGATATGTGCCACGAAGATAAAGCATGGAACTCATGAGTTTATCCTTTCATTAATGGATTTTATCTTATCTAGGTCTCTCTCATTCACGATTACGTACCTTGTCTTTATGTTTTTTTACTCAAAAATAATATAATTACAATACCACATAATATTATAAGTTTTATGATTTGATTCCTATTCTTCTCATCTTTCCTCTTTCTTTCCCTTTCTGTTTTCTACTTTTTCTCTTTCTATCCACCTTTCTCTTCTCTTTTCCTCTATTTTTTGCTTGCATAGATCTAGTAAATTAGGCCATAGGGAAAAAGAAAAAGAAGAAAAAGGTCCATTTTCGTAAATGAGTATAAATCACTTGCCAATTTGACAATTTCTTCATGCACG